TGACAAGGATTTCATGAACATTTGTCAAGCTGACTGACTGACTGAACAAACACAGACTGGTGACATTTCATTTTACTATTTTATTTTATTTCATTTTATTTTATTTCACAAAGCGCTTTGTTATATATTAAGTGGGTTATAAATGCTGGTAATAAACCATTGTTATATTTACCTTGCTTTTTCCATGTTGTCACTCCACCACTTGCTCCTCAGAGTCTAGAATCTTTTGATCTGGTCCACTCGGTGTTAAACCACAAAGATTTTCATGTGAACCACCTCTAGTAAAATCTACGTAAGGTTACACTTTTTGTCTAAAAATGTCATTTTAGCCTTCATACATTAAAACAATCAACCAGTACATCTGCAAATAAATAAATAAATAAACTGGGACAAACCTTACCCTGTAAAACCTTACCCATGGTAAAATATACAAGATTTTTTTTTACCTAAAACAAACAAACAATAAAACAACAACAGGGATCACATATTCATGTTAACTATAATAATACTTTCTTCTTAATAAAACTAATCAGGTTCAGATGATATGAAAATGTTTTCTAACAACATTTTTATAAACATCATTGACTGAATATAATATTTAATTTGTTTTATTTTTTACTCTAACAGATCTGGCTGAAAACATTTAATAATATTAAAAAAAATTCCCCGCTCATTCAAAGCCTGAACTTTTTTTTTCAGATGTGTCTTAAAGACACAATTCAGACACTGGGTGCAAGTGGGGTGGTGCGGTGGCATCAGCTGGCATAGGCCAGACGATGCCCGCAATGCCCGCTCACCTCAGCCATGAAATACACCTCATCAACACTCACTAACACCATATTGGAGCAGGCGGAGGAAGACTAGGGGTCTTAGCACACCTCTGTTGTTGCTTGGCTTCCTGGGGCTGGAGGCTAGGAGGGAGATCTGGCCGTCTGGTTGGGGTCTGGGGTGGTGGGTTGCTGTGCTCAGCGTTGGGCGGGGCAGCCTGCTCATCAGCACCCCCAGCAGAAAGGGTCAAACTCTGGTTACCGGTAATGGTTGTACCCCATGTGCAGCAGTACAGGGACCAGAGTGAATAGGGTGTGTATGGGGAGCATGAGTGGGTGTCCGGCATGCATTTTTGTAAGTCTTGGGTTGTATGTGCACGTGTGAGCATGAGGGAGGAAGTGTGTGACTGTGTTTGTGTATGATTGTATATGTCAGGTGGGGCCTTTGACTCCTCCCTTCTCCTGGGACTTCTTTTGATGATATAGATCTTCGTCTCCCCTCCCCCTGCCACACCTGGTGTGGGGTGCGGTGCCTTGGTCTGCCTGGGTCGTGGCTCCCGGGTCAGGGAGTTTAAGATTTTTGGCATCTGCCTGAGCAATCCCGGTGGCTACCTGGTTGGGTCTGGGTCCCTGGGCTCCACTGGGTCCCCGGCGGGGGTGGTCGCCCCTGGGTCCCGGGTCGCTGGGTCCCGGGCACGGCCGGCTAGGGGGTGGGAGGCTGCGAACGGGCCTGTGGGCTTGCCGCCGATATCTTCCGGACTCTGCCGGCTGCTGGTTGTGGCGCCCCGGGGCGATCCTCTGTGCCTCTCGAGGGGAGCGGGGCTTTTCTGGTCACAATCTCCCTGGGGTTCCTGTGCTCTGGGGCAGCTCCTGGATCTCTGGGACTTGGAGCTCCCTCCATCTCCTGCACATCTTGGGGGGCAGATCTGAGGCCCCTCGCACTCTATTGGACGCACCTATAGAGAAACCTTACATAAACAAGCGCGTGTACACACACAGGTGCTCACATGGTGCTCTCACAAGTATGGACTTGGGCATGTTAAAAACATGTCTTAAGGCTATGGTGGGCACTTAATGCACTGTGATTTATTATCGTGTGATTGTTCAGTTAAACAATATTGATTATATAATTCTTCATCAAGTTGACGCGGTGATAGCTTGCTCTTGTTGTATTGATATTGTGTTCCATTTTTTTCTTCTCTCTTTCTGCAGGTCTAGAAGCAGACTCTTGTTCATTATCGTTTATTTTTTTGCCCCCCCCCCCATCTTTTGTCTTTTCCTTTCTCTTTCACCTCTGTCTCCGTGTCTGGTCGGAATTAAAAAGCATTCAAAAACAATAACAATAAAGTTTTAAGTATCAGGCGTGACATTAAAAGCAGACGCTTTGATGCTCCACCTGAGAGTAAATCTGTAAGGCTTGTTACCTGCATTCAGACATCAATTCTGTTTGCTTCACAGCCAGACAGTACAAGGGGGAAAAGAAAATAAATTAATTAATTTAAAAAAGACACTATTCAGAAGATGTATGTCTGAAACGCAGGTATGAAAATGCTGCTGGATCCGCTTTAGTCATTATTTTAAATGTAATTAAATACAGGCCAGTTCTAACTCTTATAACCACCTTGATTAATTGAAATCTGGTCATTTCCCTTGTAGCTAAGGCACACGTTTTACCGTTAAAATGATCATTATTCTCACTTGTGGCTTTACGTGGTGTGATGGATAACACTGTGCTTCCACATGAGTCACAGAGTGGTTAGCTGCACGAACAACTCATTTTTAACTTGTTGAATTTATTATCAAATCGCAGACTTTGGCACGTAATTAGAAATGTGTTCACATTTGTTAACATTTAATAGGTTGCTAATAAAGTATTCATTAGTAAATGATAAGATGAAGCTTTAACCCTTGCAAAAGAACCAGAAAAGGCACACAAAAAGGACAAACCTTTATAGGAAGTCATTCTCCCTCTGCAGGTAAACATCTATCTGATAATGGAGTTCATGCAGAGCTCCATCTGTACGGTCCAACCTCAGCCTGTTGTGAAACTAACCTCTGTCACACCCGGGACGATAAGAGAGAAAATCCACAGCGACGACGCCTTAAGCAGAGCCAAGATGGGGTGATTATTTTAATCTTGCAGAATTATAACGCTGCAGTGATTTCAAGGGACACAAGTTGGAGTGATTTGTATAATTTGAAGCACTGCGGTTGGTCCAGTGTGTCCTGTCTGTGGTGGAGATTAAACATGACCTCTCCCACTGTGGTTAAGGCGGAGATGATCCAAAAGAAAAGACACAAAGAAAACACTGAGCTTTTAAACTCAGTCACGCTTGTTTTATCCTTGCACTTCAAAAGCATAAAACCATTCATGTGAGTGCTGCCAGGGTTTGTACAACTGTTGACTCACTGATTTTTGAGTCGTCAGGCTTTTAATTTCTATATTTTGGTTTCATATTTCAGAAAAATACATTCTTTTGCTGCACATTTTTGCATTTTGCCTTCGTTAATATGTTGGATGGATTACCTGAAATGTTCGTATTATAAAAAAAACATAAACATATTTGCAATTTTAGTAATGACACTTCTCTTGATGAATATGTTTTTAAAAGCTTTGCTTTGATTTATTAAAAGACTAAGACAGACCTAAAATGTTTAATATTAAATCATGTAAGCTTCAGTCAGACGGCTCTATCAGCGCTGAACGGGGCTAAACGCCTTAGAAAGGCAGTCATGAGTTTGTCAGGAGGAAGAAGATACTGTTGGCTTTCTTCAAATGGTGCTTCTCTAGCTGTCGACCCTGTCAGTCTTCTCGTCACTCGCCTGAAGCCCTGCGGCAGACTGTTTACCGATATCAGAGACCTCAGAGTACACCCTCCTGTCTCCTTCCTTCTCTGTGCCTTGTTCAAGCATGAAAGGTGAATTTCCTGATGTTCCTGCTCCCTCTGTGACCATTTGTATTGTTATTGCCAGAAATCTGTTTGTGAAAAATGCATATAAATCTAAAGAGCAAATCTCATCCATCCATCTATTTTCTGAACCCGCTTGTCCAAGTGGGGTTGCGGGGGGGGGGGGGGGGGGGGGGGGGGGTAGGCTGGTGCCTATCTCAAGTGGTCAATGGGCAATCAGGCGGGGTACACCCTGGGCAGAGCCAGTCCATCACAGGGCATCGTGATTAGAGATGTTGCCTTGCAGCAAGAAGGTCCTGGGTTTGCTTCCCGGCCTGGGATCTTTCTGCATGGAGTTTGCATGTTCTCCCTGTGCATGCGTGGGTTCTCTCCGGGTACTCCAGCTTCCTCCCACAGTCCAAAAACATGACTGTTAGGTTGATTGGTCAGTCCAAATTGTCCTTAGGTGTGAGTGTGTGCGTGCATGATTGTTTGTCCTGTGTGTGTCTGTGTTGCCCTGCGATGGACTGGCTCTCTGTCCAGGGTGTACACCACCTGATTGCCCATTGACCGCTTGAGATAGGCACCGGAACCCCACCCCACCCCACCCCTGCCACGGCGACCCTGCGTGGACAAAGCGGGTTCAGAAGATGGATGGATTTAGAAAAAGCCTTTCTTTTAAATACCATGTTGTTGCCTGGAACCATGATATTCACTCAAAAAACACGATGATTCATTTAGTTTTTACCCAAGTATCTATCCTTGTACCTTTAATTAGGTTTTGTTCACATGAAATAAAAATGTGAAGCCCATTTTTGCTGACTTACCATACCATACCATTCCATCTTTATTTATAAAGCACATTTTGAAACGGCATGGCAGCCGACCAAAGTGCTGTACAGAATAGAAAGTAAAAACAATATAAAACAATACACGGTCAACAATAAAATGCACAACAAGGCAGATAATTACAGTCAATAAAAAGACACATAATAAAATAATAAAAGTCAGGGATTTAAAAATGCCTGGTCATAAAAGTGAGCCTTCAGCAGCGATTTGAACCGGAGGAGGGATGGTGCCAGCGTCACCGAAAGAGGAAGTGCATTCCATAGTGTCGGAGCAGCGTAGACAAAAGCACGCTGCCCCTGCATTTTGTATTTCATTAATGGAACACGAAGCAGCAGGCAATCAGCAGACCTCAACGCCCGGTTTGGCACATATCTAGTGACAAGATCCGACAGGTAATCCGGTGCCAGACCGTTCAGGGCCTTAAAAACAAAAATCAGGATTTTAAACTTGACCCTAACGTTTACGGGTAGCCAGTGGAGCGGCTCCAGTACAGGTGTGATATGTTCTCTCCTAGGAGTGTTTGTTAAAAACCTGGCTGCCGCGTTCTGTACGACTTGAAGCCTGTTAAGAGCGGAGGCAGGTAAACCAATTAAAATGGAATTTGCATAATCCAGTCGAGAGATGATAAAAGCATGGATTACGGATTCCAGGTGTGCTCGTTTCAGGATCGGTTTTAAGCGGACTAGTCTGCGCAGCTGATAAAAACACGATCTGACCACTGCGTTAATCTGAGGGCCCATGGTAAACTGCGTATCAAATTTCACCCCAAGGTTGGTAACACACTGCTTGAGGTCAAAAGGGAGAGTGGCCAAATCAGAAGATACTTGTGTTGTTTGGTTAGCCTTAAATGTAGTTTAAATTCACCCTCCATAATGTAGATAGATTAATTTATGCCTAAAATAAAATCCATCTTTGTGACTGTTGGATTTTCCAAACAGTTACCTAACGTTGTTGGTTTACAATTTACTAAATATACAGTTAAACACTGCCAGAGAAGGGTTTCATTTAATGTTTGGAGGCTCTGCTACTGAATGGACATGTGATCCGTCTTGAGGAAATTGATGTGAATCAATATAACGTCCTCTGATGTGCTGCTGTGTGAGTGCATGTTTGTGATCTGCTCAGTCCTTTGACACTGGCTGTTTTCATCTGATAGGGGATGGTGAGATGGAAGCGTGGTGATTAAGCCGTCATGTCAGTGGAATATTGATGCCTGCGCAGCTCAAATGGGGAAATTATAAAGCGCTCGGCAGGAAATGCATCTTAATTGCTGCTTAACTGGGTATCCTCGTCAGAAACAGGGAGAAATGGTGGGCCGCGTCCCCATATGATTCAGACAAAACAGATAGATGAGTTAACACTCCTCTGCAGCACTCTATAGAGGAGACAAATGAGCTCATAAACACTCTAATAGAGGGCTGCTCCGTGTTCAGAGAGGAGTTGGAGACACTGTAGCTAAAGACAAGTTTTCTGTTCATGAGACAATGTTGAGAGCCGTCTTTGAGGGATTTCCTGTGAGATGTTTCTCTTGTGACTTCTGCGGGGATGTGTGATCTACTTTATTATTTTGTTACAACTCCAACGGACTTCAAAGTCAGCAAATAAAGATTAGTCAGCCCCAACCAGCTCAGTGGACAAATAACAAGAAATAATGAGCTGTAATGAGATTTTAGTTTTTAATTTAGGGTTATTCCTGTTCATTAGATGACTTGTTTCACCTGGTAAAGCTGTATTCATTATCAAGTGTTTTATTTTCATTCCTGGAGAAAGGAGCACTCTCTTATTTCAGAAGTGATTATCTCTCACTGTTGTGTTGCTGCTAAATGCTCAGAGCGGACACAAACACACTCAGCTGCCAGATCTGACCCTGCTAAAACACCACTGGTCACCTTGGTGACAACAAAGCCTTGCTAGATTTGGTTTATTGCCGGTTTTTCCAATCGTCGCAGAGACAACATTCTGGTTGCTGTCGCTGTGACAAAAAGCCTCTTTTGCTGGCTGTAAGTCAAAAGATTTAAACTCAGGTTTTGCTTTTATGAATCTGTGGAAAACGGTTAAACGTGTGAGGATGTAGTTCATGTTCCGACAGCTCAGATGGCTCTTTAGGTTTGTTCTTGATATGTGTCTGTTAGAAGTTATGTGTCATTGCTGTGTGTGCTAAACAAAGAGGGTGAGATTAACACAGGTTGGCAAACTCCCATAAAAAAAGTTTTTGCATAGTTTTGGAGGATTATCAAAGCATTCAAGTTTTTTTTCTTGTCTTTTATCATGTAAACCCTGTGTGGATTCTCCTCCCATGTCCTCTTCACCTACTCTGAACTGTGTGGAGATAAATGACATGGAGCCAGATGTCTTCAAAGAGATGATGTGCTTCATCTACACAGGCAAGGCACCCAGCCTGTGCAAGATGGCTGATGACCTGCTGGCTGCAGCTGACAAGGTACTCATGATGTGTATGTGTGTGCGTGTGTTTGTGTTTGTGCACGAATACACCTGTTACTGTTTAAATTTACAAGACGGCGTGCAAAATAATGTACAGAAAGCACATTTAATTCAGGTAAGCTGGGAATCTCACTCAGATATTTCTGGTTTAGGTACAACCATTTTTATTAAAAGGGATGTGATTTCTTTTTTAAGGTATACTAGTTTCATGGTTGATGAAGTATTTCATGAAGGACTTTGCACAAAATTCCTCTCACATGAAGCCATTTGAAATGTTGTACTATTGGCAGTTTCAGTACCTTCTAGAATGAGCTGTTTCAGAGGTCTGTCACTTTAAGAAAACAAGCTGAAGGTGGCCATGCCCACCCATCGCCCAATCAGTTTGCTATTAGCTAAGATGCTCCAATATAAGGGAGGGGCTTGAAGTAGAGCCGCTGCTTCTCCAGCAGCAGCTCTCTCTTGCACATGACAGGTGATTCTAAGCTAATTTTCCTTTTTGTGACATCACAAACAAGGAGTTTGTTTTTATTTTCTTGTTTTAGACACATGATTCCTGAAACCAAACACTGACAGAAAATGGATGGATGATTTTTTTTTACATTTGGAATGTTTGAAGAGGCAATAGAGACCCACTTGGCAGCACAAAAAAGGAGTTTTGCTTAAAGGTAGTGGCCAGACTCAACATTAAAATTGTAGAAATACAGTATAACTACACTTTACCATCTATATAAATATGAACTGGGTTCAGTTTTTCATTTTGTTAAGGGTCGACCCAGGACACGTTGGAGAGGTTACATCTCCAATCTGGTCCGGGAACGCCTTGGGGTCCTGCCGGAGGAGCTGGTGGAGAAGGCCGGGGAGAGGACGTTCTGGAGTAGGGATGAGCCGGATACTCGTTTCAGATGAGTATCCGGTACGGATAAAGCATTTTTGACGAATACGAGCATGAGACGAGTAAACCTCGTAAATATCTGTAATCCTGCTGAAGGAAAATCCTCATTGGGTAACTGACTGTCTTCACGCTCTGTGATTGGCCAGTCACATAGCGCACCCGCCCCTCCCTACACACAAAACTCTCTAGCCGGCCGGGAGCACAGTCCGTCCGGCTCATCTACGCACACACACAGACAGTAACGAATCTCGCTGTGATTGCTTCATTGTTGCTCACGTTACTTCAGTTTTCCCTAGGTTTTCTTCAGCTCGCCTTTTTTTCTGTTGAATATTTAAAGTTACTTTTTTCGTAACTTACTGTACATGGTGCATTTGACAAGACAGAGCTGACGTGCTGCATAAACTTCACTACCTCCGCTCTGGTTTTTTTTTTTAACTCCATCTCTCTCCCTCTCACCCTCTCTATCTCTCTCAGACACACACACCTTAATCAACATTGTTTTGTTTAACTTTGTGTGGGGCAAAATGCCAAGAACGTTAAGAAAAAATCTGTTTAATCAAATTAAAATGAGAAAAATATATATAAAGTTGTGTCTGGTTCTAGCATTTCATATTTCCTAGTTCCTACTGCATGAGTTCAGATGTATTAATTCCTGCACTTAAATAATAATGTTCTGATTTTATTGAAAAACTTGTTCTGTAATAGTTTCTTTACCATTGATCAAAAATATTTAATCTCAATTCTGAGGCTGCTCTGTAAATAGTTTTCAAATAAACAATACACATAGCAAATTCTGATCAATCCATATCAATTTCAGACTTAAAATAATGTATTGATGTAAACCACACCCACTTCCAGTTAAACCACGCCCACTTCCAGGTTATGCCACGCCCATTCCGAGTACAGATACAGATACAGATAATTTAGTTGGTTGAACAGATACAGATACAGATAGTGGTGTACTCCCTCATCCCTTGTCTGGAGCTCCCTAGTTGGGTTGCTGCCCCCGCGACTCGGACCCGGATAAGCGGAGGAAGAAGACAACAAAGATTTTGTTGAGGAATTTAGTCATAAATCATTACAGAAAATCTAAATCCTCTCCTCCACGCAGTGAAGAAATGTGCTTTGCATATGTCACTCACACACGTCATACTAGGTAGCTGCTGTTGCTAGCATGGTAAATCACTGTATTTTGTTTACTATCGTGTTCCTAATTAAAACAGGAAATTGCGTTTACAGCTGCAGCTAAATGTCTGAGGCATATGTCCGTGTCCTACACGTATTTTTAACTAACATAGGTTTGATCTAAAATAATAACCTACATCTATAAATCCATTTAGAACCGCACCGGGTACTTCTGGACTCAAGCAGGTGAGTCTTGTCAACATGCCTGCCGCAGCACGAACCGTGTTAGCTCCGGTAACAAGTAATTTGTGAAAGCTACGAAACACACACACACACACACACACACACACACACACACACACACACACGCACACACACACACACACACACACACACACACACACACACACACACACACACACACACACACACACACACACACACACACACACACACACACACACACACACACACACACACACAGGTGTAGCATGATGAAGGTTCTCTAATTTGTGGCAAAGGTCACGTTTACCCAGCTGGGTCAAGCTGGGTCAGACAGTAACCTTTAAATCCACAGATTAACCAAGGAGTCACGATGTCTGAAGAACATATCATTATCTGCTGCTGTTCCGTCCCAGAAGAAGGACACTTCAAGTTCATGATAATAATTAATAATATTAATAAGCTCTTTGACTTTATTGCTGTTTATTATAATCATCATAGATAATCACTTGGTTCAGTATAAATGTATTTTAATTACTGAAATGAATTATTATGCTTTAGGTATAATAATGATTACTATGATTATGGTTAGTAATGTGTGTTCCGCAAATCAGAAGGTCAGCTTCCACCTTATCCATCTAACACAGTGAGTTTATCCAGAGTAAAGAGTAACTGCCAACACATGTTTTTGACGCATGACCAAAGCTTTCTTGCTGAGAGTGGGTGTGTTCTGAGGACTTTGTAAACTAACTGCTCACAGCTTTCACGCCAGTTCGTGAACCCACCACCATCACTGGAGGATCAGGGAACGGCCGTCCCTAACCTCCACCTGCTGTTCTGTCACGCTGATAGAATAAGCTTTGAATAAACGTAACTGTAGCCAGCTGACGCAAAAACTCCTACCAGAGTTATTGATTTTTGAGTTAAGACGAGAAACTCCTTCAGAGTTAAGCCAAACGCTCGACACTGTGTACCCGGCAACATCTCTGGACCAGAGGATTGGTTCACTTGCGTCTTCTCTACCGGATCGAGTACCCTGAGGTGGACAACATTCTCCTTGATCTCCGGATCCACAAAGAGGGTCTCCTGTTGGGTGAGGTAGCACACAGAATGTGTTTGATGCTGTTTTCTCTAAGTGAACAACAGTTAGCTGCAAAAACCATCATTTCCAACCCAGAAGGCATTCCTCTCTCTGAAAGAAACCTTCTGAGAAATCCATTCACGCATCCAAACTCGTATTTTCATTTTTTTTTCATCCAGGCACAGGTTTGCCTTTTAAAACAAGTTTAAAATCAAAGCTGTTAAAAATTGTCATTAAATTGTCATCCCTGAATTGTCATTTATAATTGTCGTTCAAATCGTAAAGTTTAAAGATTGTTAGTAATAAATTCTTCGTTTTTAAACTTGCCTCATTCTTTGAAATGAAACACAGAAAGGTATGAATATATCTGGTTATTGAAAAGCAAAGATTCCTAGCTTCTGATTCAAAAATAAACTTTTGCTATTAAATTTAATTATCTTAAATTAAACATTAATCTTTGGACTAAAAATAGACCAAACAGGTTGGTGCATGAACTTAGATTGATTATATAAGTATCCTGGATATTTATACATGATATAAGCTTCATAGATTGCTCTGCTTGGTCATTCTCAGAATCTACAACTGAATAGCAACAGTGTTGATTCTAGTATGTAGTATAACCCTACACAGATATAATCTAAAAGATGATCCCCATTTTTCAACAATAGATCCTCCTATAGGACCAGTGGAACCTCCGTGTCTTCCTAGATTAGAAAACAACGATCCGAGCTAGCGAGTTAGCATCCGGACGATTTATTCTGGTCAGCAATCGGTTAAATATTTTCCGATGTTATATCAATAAATACACACAGCGGTAAAGCTGGCAACACATTATTTTAGTCATCTGTAGATTACTGAATTATATTGGGACAATATGATGGAGCTAATCAGCTGAGAACTAAACTGAAAGCTACCGGTGGAGCACAGACATGAAATATTTAACAAAATTTAACAAACTGTACCGATTTTGGTTCAGAAGACAAAAAAAATCCTCCTCGGTTTCCTAATCGGACCGCGCGTTTTCTGAGTGAAATAGTCCAAAGCATGTCTGCACCTCTGGTTCTGCTATCCAGCTGCAGGGCACGGAGTTCAGTTGAACATCTCCGATAATCCAATATCCGTTCTTGTCGCCGTATCCCAGAAAAAAAAAAAAACAAATCTGGCCGACTAGAAGAGGCTTCAGAAGCTACATCTGACTGATGACACATTGTTCTCTGCTATAACGCTAACGCAGAAACACCGGAGTCAGGCGTTGTTTAATATCGCTGTTTTAGCAGAGCGCCTTATGAAACACCACCAGCTGCCCAGGTCTTAGACCGGAAGTTAGTTTCTGTTTTTCCCGCGCCAGTAAAAAACATCAGATTTTCTTAAAATTCCAGCTGCGAAAATCCAAAAACCTCTTTCATCTGAGATTTTAATACTTCTTTACACATGCCATTCAAAGGAATTTTGCCTCTGGCTGATATCTTTAAAGGTGTGATCCTGAAACAGCAGCACCAGGGATTTTTCTACCCAGAGTGCAACTTGCAAGGCATTCTTTCCTACTAGAGACCACTGCAGATGTATTGATTAAACAAGTTTGGCAGAGAACATGGGGAAAGCTTGCAAGAGCACAGTGGAGCTCACCGGATGCTGATTGGTAGTCAGTTGGAGGAGCTTCAGGTGAAGATGCCGGAGACACAGGGGCAGGTTGAAACGGACGAAAAGCAGTGGAGAGTGTAAACTTGTTACCTGTGGTCTGAGGGTTTCTGTGGGCAACCCCATGGTTCTAGCGTTTAGTGCTACAATGAATTAACCAGACCTTTATCAAGTTCCCTTTCATGAGACATAATAATACAAAGCACACACTTTTCTGTCCCAAAATCAAATGGCCTGTATTTGTATTTGTATTAAAGACACTTGCATAAGGAAATGAACACCATTTCTACAAAGTTGTAACTATTAGACAGCAGACTCAGGAACTATCTGGATGTTCTGTGGAAAAAAACATTCTTAGATCCTGAGAGTTTTCTAGAAGCAGGTAGATTGAGCTTTTTCACAAGTATAATTTGGCCACTCACTGAGATTAGATGAGTTTGCAGGCTGACTCAGCATTTCTTCAAACCGGTTTTCATTGCAGAGCTAATTTTCTCACCACCGCCATCAGCCGATCATGTACAAATATTTATTTCCCTTGATTTTAATAGCAGAAAGGTGTGCATGCTGCTCCGATGTTTTACTTTATTGGGTTCTTCATGTATTCAGATATGACTTAGGTAACACTCCTGTCTTAAGCCGGGCATACACTGAGCGACTTTTTCACTTTTTTGAGCCGATTTTCCAGTCGTGCGAGAATCCACGACATCGGGGCGAGTTTTGCGCCGAGCGGTCGTGTAGTGTACAGGGGGTTACGAGGGGCGATTAACACCACCTGACCAGCTGCCGATCAGCAGTCGTGAGGTCGCACGGACTTCTGGCGTGTTTAATATTTTGCTCGTCCCTCGTGAGGGTATCACACTGTTGAAGCGGCGCTGCGAGCAGCTGCGACCCAAAAAGTATCAGAACCGCTCACGGCGCATGCGCAATCCTGCATCAACACTGCTCGCTATTTCCC